CAAAATAATGTCACGAAGGGAGTGGATGCTACCGTGGCGCAACGGTTTGAATACATGAATAACCCACTGACCCATGCTAGCAGATACTCGGACTGCATCTGAGATACTTTCACCTGGTCGGTCAGTGGCATTTTTCACTTTACTTAGCCTTACACCGAATTTCTCTTGGATAAATTTCAGTAGGCTCCAAAAATATTCTGGATCGCTGATGCACATGCAGCACGATCGGCAGGAAGGCCTGAGCACTATGCTATGCAGTGCTGTTTGCCCCCACAGAAAATCTACAGGCAATGTAGTAGAACGTAGGTCTTCAGTTGTTCTCCGGTGCAACACTGTCATTCTGAACACGCTCGTTCAGCGGGGACCGATCGCCACTTGAAAGTTGCACGAGGGCTGGAATACTGCCAGATTGCCCAAGCCTGGACAGGGGAAGTCGAGAGGCAGGGATCGGGTTGGAACCACGGACCTTCCGGTCAGTAAATTCGCGCTCTAACCACTTGGACCATCCCGCCCCTCAGAACATGCTCATGATGAATAAATTTGCCTTTCCAGGATTGGTTTCCAGTCCAAGAAGCGAAGTGTACTGGCCGATACGATCGACAATAGACTATATTTCTGGAGGATCTTTACTCAGGACGACGATTTCTAGGTCCGTGATCTACGTGGTTTATTGGCACTCAGCATGAAGCACTGCGGGTGTACGATCTTACCCAACAAACCACAAAGTTAGAAAGCATCGACGGAAGTGTGACGTCTTGCGAAACACCGGAGTTTTTAAACAATGCCATAGTCTCCATCCCATTCACTCGGACGCTGAGTAGTGAGGTCTGGTGAGATTCAGCAGCTTATCTGGCACGCCATCAATTTTTCAGAGACCAAATGGTGGAGTCAAATAGTGCGCTGAAGTCAATGAAGCAGACAGTAGCTGGCTGCCGAAACTTGCAGCCATGTTTCAAAATAACGTGAACCCCTTAGTGCAGAGAAGTCTCTTTGATTCGGTCTGAGGAGATACTCTCTCTAATAATGTGATCACCTCGGCCAATCCACAATGTTCATGAGTGTCGCAGATGGTGTACGCGTCACGAAGAGACAAGATCTTACCATGGTACTACGATTTGTGCCTCCGCGTCCCACTGAGCTATAATGGGGTGTGTCCGCGCGATAGTCGCCGTCTCTTATACCTGGTTGGTGAATGGTAATACACGTGCACTTCCAGCCAAACACCGCTACGTTGTGGTTAGGCTTTTGAGCCAAAGGCTTTGGGTGAGGACTCTAATCGTCCTCCTGTCCAGATGTGGGTGCCCTGACAGCCCACGTACAACCATGACACTTACAACTGACAATACTCTCATGCTATATCGGCCGTCGAGTGGTGCCATCAACCTTACTCGCTACATACAGGAGAGCGGGTAAGCAAGTCGGGCTACCGCTGGCACCCCTCTAATTTCTCTTTCACACACATTTTTGGCAACTATAAAAATTTCATCGATTGCGCTGAGCATCAATGTGAGTGGCCATACGTCTCAATTGCTCGAATGACTATGGTAGATACAGGCCAATAACAAGTTGGTGTTGCCTTTAACATAAAACCAATCTGCATAACCTGTGATACAACGGGATTGTTTTCAAACTGCTATACAGGCTGTCATGAGGAGCGTGGCATCCGGCGTCCATGTAGCTGTGGTGAAAGAGTCAGTTTACGGACCATAAGGTCAGTGGCTCGAACCCTACCTCAGCATCTCGACTGCTCCTGTCTGGATTTGGGCAACCAGACAATATCGTAGCCCTCGTGTCTTCTTCTGTTGGCGTGGCAGCTAGGCACGGAAAGGGTGCTACAGTTGGACGATTTAGAAATTTTCGTCATGCCATCCCCACCCAAGCATCTATCTCGTTCCACCCAGCATAACGTTTAACTTCATGTTGG